TCCTTTCTTCTTAACTGCCAGAGAGCATGTGCCCTCACCAGAGACCAAAAGAACAAGAAAGCATCCCCTCATGGGGTGTGGTCATGTTACAATCCCTTCTCCATTTCTCCATCCTGTTGGGATTTGGGGCATGCACGCACATGTGCCCGGGGTGTTTTTCAAGTTGCCAGGGATGGGATTCAAAGCACAGCCAGTCATGTGAGATTTGGTTCCCTTAACCACTAGGCTATGGGGCTGGCCCTGGCCTGTCTCTTTATGTAGGCGTGTTAGATGCAGAATTCCTGGAGTTAGAACAGGCTAAATTGAATGTCAAGTGGGCTAAATTTCTCACCTCCCCCTTTATAGGTACGCCACAGATGCCACTGTGGCCATCTTTGTGGCCATCTTACTATTCATCATGCCTTCACAGAAGCCCAAGTTCAACTTCTGCAGCCAGACTAAGGAAGGTAAGGCCCCTGCCCTGGGCTCCCGGCCATCAGAATTGGAACCCTGGCAGCAAAAGATCTCCACAGGATCCCCTGGGATTTGCTTAGCCAGGAGGAGAAAATCCCAGCCTATTGAAGAGGATTGGCTATATTACAAAAGCCCGGGAAGACAGTGGTTTTTAAGCCAACAGTGGTATTATCTAATGCAAAAATCTTTTCTCTTTTGCTTTTTAAACATTTGACATCTTATATTACAACAGGAACAGAAAAATGTTTCAAATTTCCCACAATGTCATTGGCATTTTTTTGTTTTGTTTTCTCTCTTCCTCCTAGTCTTTGTTAATATGCGTTTGTATGTTATTTGGTTATAATCGAAACACACACAGTTGGGCCAGCAGGTGGCATGGTGATTAATGCACTGGGCTCCCACATGGCCCACTGCAGTTTGAGTCCCAGACCTGGTGGCTTGAAAATCATTCTGGATGCATGTGCTTGCATACTGGAAATCCCAGGAGGAGAATGGATTGCAGTGTGGCCATCCCTCCTCGGGAATGATTTCTTACTTTCCCTCTCTCTGTCTGTGTCTGGTGAGCACACATGCCTTGTGGCAAAAACCTAAAAAAAAAAACCAAAACCACATAATTTGAACTCTATTTCTTTGGGTTTTTGTTTTTGGTTGGGATGAGGCTATAAACATTTCCTACAATTTTCAAATTTATTTTTTCTCTAATAACATTATATTGTATTGAGATGCTATTACCATTCTCCTGTTTGGAACATTTCAGCTGTTTGGAATTTTTCATTAAATTGGTTTCTTGCATATAAACTTTTCCTTTGAGGGTATTTCTTCTTTAAGGTAAATTTCTAGGAATAATACTGGAAAATACTAGGTAAAATAATATAAGTGTCTTAGTGACTCTTAAAATGTGTGGCCAAATGACTTTTCGAAAAGATGGTACTAATTTATCATATAATGCTAACAGCGGGTGTACCTCATCGTGTCACTGTCTCCTCACCAGCAGTGGGCATGATAATTATTGTAAGTATTAGCTAGTTTCTCATTGTCCTTATGGTTTTATTCCCCCTTGATTCTTTCTTTTATTTTTAGAGATTTTTGCTGTAGGGCACGTGGGCTTGCCAGGAAGAGGGAGAGACAGAAAGAGAGAAATCACCCTCTGGGGGGAATGGCCACGCTGCAATCCCTTCTCCTCCATTCTCCTCTCAGGATCTTGGGCACGCACACGCACGTGCCAAGTGTGAGTTTCAAGCCACCAGATCTGGGACTTGAACCAAGATTGACTATTTGGGGAGTCCAGCGACATAACCATTACCACCTGTGGGTCCCTTCCCCTTGTCTTTTTTTTTTTTAATAATTATTTATTTTATTTATTTATTTTTATTATCATCATAATCTTCTTTACATTACATTGGGTTACATATAACTTTATAGTGTATTACATTGCTTTTTCAAAAGGGAATGCCATGCATGTCAGTCAGTACAGAGACATTAATCTCCCCACTTCAACATTCAATATCTTTTCTATGTTTTTCCCAATCACTATTATTATTCTAATTATTTTTTTAAACAGTCAATCACTATTTCTCATTTTGCTTGTAAAAAGACTTTACCCATCATGAAATACTTCTCAGACCAATCCAGTTGAGAATACTATACGCGTCATCACCAACAGGTAATAAGCCCTATCTGTTTCCCACTGACGTCCTGCCTCTCTATTTGTTCTCTTGCTATCTTTCTCTACCCTTCTTTTTTCTTTTTTTTGATTTTCTCTGAGTATTGAAACTAGGGCCAGGGTTAGAATTTGAAATTTGTAACCTTCTAGCAGCCCTATTACATTGGAATTAATTTGCATCTTTTTGTAAGTCGAGGTCTGTGGCTCGAACCACGGTCGGCCATGTGAAGTGTCCAGCACCTGAACCACCACACCGCCTGCGAGTCCCATATCTCTTCTGTTTTCTAATGCTGTTCTGGGTTGTGTGTGTGTGTTTTCTTTTCAGAAATGAAAACTCCATTTTACCCCCCTGCACTGCTGAATTGGAAGGTGGCCCAGGAGAAAGTGCCCTGGGGCATTGTGCTGCTACTGGGGGGTGGATTTGCTCTGGCGAAAGGATGTGAGGTAACATCTCCAGCCACAGGCTGCCCAAGAGCCCACTCGCCCTCCCACCCCTGGACTTGTGTGTTTCCGTGTCCACCCTCTCCACAGAACTGCTCATCTTCTGGGAACAGGAACTCTTGTCTTGTGATCTAGGAACTGTGCTCAACGCAACAGTGCCTGGAAGAGAGGAATAGTCTCTGAGCGATTACAGAAATGAATGAATGAATGGTTAGCCCAGAGAGGCCTTCAGTCTCCCTTCAGGATTTGGTCATAATCTCTGCTTTGATTTTTCCTAGGGAAATCTTTTTCCAAGTCCTTTTGAATATTTTCACCATTTTCTTTGGTTCTTCTACTTGCTGAACTCTTTGTTGACATGATTTAATTTTTTTCCTCTAGCTAAGTATTGGAGAAGAGGAATAGCTGTTGGAAGAAATATCCCAAATGTAACTTTTTTCCTCCTGGAGCAGACATGAGTTAGAGGGAGGGATGAGCTAGCTTGATGCTACTATTTCCATCCATCCATCCATCCATCCATCCATCCATCCATCCATCCTTCTGTCCAACTTTCCATCTGTACAGAAATAGGATGCAATAGATAGGCTTGGTCTACCTTGGTTTTGCTGTTTCTTCAACTTTCAGGATGGATCCCGGTGCATAGTGAGTGCATAAGTATTTATTTCTTGGATGCACAAATCTATCCATCTAGTCAACTTTCCTTCCACTCATCCATCCGTCTACCCATCTCTCCACCATCATTTATTCACTCATCAAACACTCCTATTATGTCCTTAGTGTTAGGCCAGGCACAGAGATTACAGAGGAGATTGAGATATGGCTCCTGTTCTTGAGGGGTTCACGGCCTAGGGAGGGAGATACATCTGGAAGGGCATTTAAGGTAGTGACGCATGAGCAAGAGAAAAAGCTGATCTAGCTAAGTAACAGGAGAAGCTGAGGCAGAGGAGGCTGACAGAGCTACTTCCCCGAGGCCTGGATGGAAGGGAGGGAGTCTCGATTCTGAAGGCAATGGAGAACTATGGAGGGCTGAGGCCAGGGAGTGACTTGGTCAGATCTGCACTTGAGAAAAATCACCCGACTATCTAGAGTGGAGGCCTGGGACAGGCAGGGGGTGGAGGAGAACCAGTAGATTGTCTTTAGTCTTCATTTAGCTCAGTTTCAGATTACGGGACTCCGTGGACCATTCTACCCTGGACCGTCCCTCCTCCTTTGGCCCCCAGGACACCACTTCCTCCCGTTTCCCTCTAACTCTGTTCCTGCCCAGGCTTCTTTGCTGACTTCACCTCTGTTTCCTGAGTGTTTGTCAAGGCTCTGTCCTCCATCTCTTCTCTGTCCACTCTCCATTCTCTCCCTGGACAATCTTCAGTGTAAAGCCCCAAATCAGAATCCTCAATTTATGGCTCAAATAACTTTCCTGAACTGCAAGAACTATAGAGGACTGAGAGAGAGATGACATGAGCTGTTTTGGGTGACTTAGCCATAAGGAGTGAAGGGTACAGAGACAGCCCCCAGGAGGACTCCCAGCCTTCTGGTGGACATCAGGTGATAGGGAGTCCAGTCACCACCTGGGGAGCCCAGAGAGGGAAGCAGAATCTGGAATAAAGAGGATTAATTCAGTTGGGGCATGTTGAGTCTGCCATGCTGGGGGGAAATTTCTGGAAGGTATATGGATATTTTAATCCATATAGTAGACCCACTAGGCCAGAGATATCCAGATTTGGGAGACAGCAGAGTAAGGATGAGATGACAGTTGTGGGGAGGGTGTGATCCCCTATGGAATGCAGGCAGAGCTGGAGAATCAGATGTGGAGGGGGGTGCTGAGCTCCTCCTGGCCCTGGAGAAACTGTGAGCCAGGGGGGCCCAAGATGACTTGCCCTCCCGGTGCTTCCCAGGCCTCGGGGCTGTCCGAGTGGATGGGGAAGCAGATGGAGCCCTTGCACGCAGTGCCCCCAACGGCCATCACCTTGATCCTGTCCTTGCTCGTTGCTGTGTTCACTGAGTGCACAAGCAACGTGGCCACCACCACCCTGTTCCTACCCATCTTTGCCTCCATGGTAAGTAACCCTGCTGAGGGAGGAGGGCACTTTTTTTTTTTTTTTTGAGAGTTATTTTTGCTACAGGGCGCGTGCACTTGCCAGAAAGATGGAGACAGAGAGACAGAAAGAGAGAAATCACCTCCTGGGAGGATGGCCACGCCACAATCCCTTCACCTCCATTCTCCTCTTGGGATTCAGGGCACACATACACACGTGCCTGGTGTGACTTTCAAGCCACTGTGTCCGGGACTTGAACCACAAAGTCAGTCATGTGGGATCCAGCCACCTTGACCTCCATGCTACCTGCTGGCCCGAGTGGAAATCTTGCCTTGAATGTCCTCTGTCACTCATCACACAGCAGTACCAGCCTCAGAATCGCATGAGAACAGCCCTGGGCTTGGGGTCAGAGACCTGAGCTCAAGTTCAGATGTCCCAACACAACACTGCTACGCTCTTTTTTTTTTTTTTTGGAGAGGTTTTTCACTGTAGGGCGCGTGTGCTCGCCAGACAGACAGAGAGAGACAGAGAGATAGAAAGCGAGAAACCACCCCCCAGGGGGGATGGCCACGCCACAATCCCTTCTCCTCCATTCTCCTCTCGGGATCTTGGGCACGCACGCACATGCGCCCGGCGTGAGAAGGGAGGGAGTCTCGATTCTGAAGGCAATGGAGAACTATGGAGGGCTGAGGCCAGGGAGTGACTTGGTCAGATCTGCACTTGAGAAAAATCACCCGACTATCTAGAGTGGAGGCCTGGGACAGGCAGGGGGTGGAGGAGAACCAGTAGATTGTCTTTAGTCTTCATTTAGCTCAGTTTCAGATTACGGGACTCCGTGGACCATTCTACCCTGGACCGTCCCTCCTCCTTTGGCCCCCAGGACACCACTTCCTCCCGTTTCCCTCTAACTCTGTTCCTGCCCAGGCTTCTTTGCTGACTTCACCTCTGTTTCCTGAGTGTTTGTCAAGGCTCTGTCCTCCATCTCTTCTCTGTCCACTCTCCATTCTCTCCCTGGACAATCTTCAGTGTAAAGCCCCAAATCAGAATCCTCAATTTATGGCTCAAATAACTTTCCTGAACTGCAAGAACTATAGAGGACTGAGAGAGAGATGACATGAGCTGTTTTGGGTGACTTAGCCATAAGGAGTGAAGGGTACAGAGACAGCCCCCAGGAGGACTCCCAGCCTTCTGGTGGACATCAGGTGATAGGGAGTCCAGTCACCACCTGGGGAGCCCAGAGAGGGAAGCAGAATCTGGAATAAAGAGGATTAATTCAGTTGGGGCATGTTGAGTCTGCCATGCTGGGGGGAAATTTCTGGAAGGTATATGGATATTTTAATCCATATAGTAGACCCACTAGGCCAGAGATATCCAGATTTGGGAGACAGCAGAGTAAGGATGAGATGACAGTTGCGGGGAGGGCGTGA